GGGGAGGAGGAGGAGGAGGGAGGCTGAGCCAGCCTGCATTAGCTCAGCTCTCAGGCACTCTCAGTCTCTGCTGGAAAGAGGAGCTGGGAGGATGTGCGCTCTGTTACCGCGGCTCCCCACGGCACGCCGAGAAGACCGAGAGAAATAAGGGAAGAAAGGCGAACCCAGAGACGAGGAGTCCTCCCAGATCAAGCTGAGGGACCACGAGCGGGAAGGGAGCCTGCTTATTGCCCGTCTGAAGCCCCCGCGCCGTTTTAGAAGTGCCAGAGATTTGGGCCTTTTCCTTTTCTTCTGCGTTGTTCCTTTCCACAGACCAAGCTTTCTTCCTCCTGCTTTTTACTTTCCTCCCCCGCGCCTTCTTTTCGGTGGATATGGACAGAAGGGTGATTACTGCAGAGAAGCAGCAGCCGCCAGAACATATTTGAGCCCCCGGTGCTCGGAGCGTGGCACAGACTTTTTGTATTTCTGTGGGTGGCGTGTGTGTGTGAGTGAGTGTGTGTGGTGGAGGTGTGGGAGGCGGGATTGGTTTGCCTGGGGGGTTGGCTGAGGGGGTGAGTGCTCGGATGAAGACCTCTTTTTGCCGTGACTCTCTGCTCCATCGGGGCAGCTTGGAGACTTGGAGGTTTTGAAATTGTAACGAACCAAGAGAAAAGAAAGAAGAAAGAGACACGCATACAAAAGGATTTATTTCCTATTCGTTAGTGGATTGTTAAACCTGAGTGGGAAGCAGAAGGAAACAAGGGTGGGTTGTTTTATTTTGTTCATAATTTTTTTCTTAAAAAAAAATAATAATCCCTTAAGTGGATTTGTACCAGTTTGGAAGATAACTGGGGATTTTTATTGTTTGTTTTGGGAATAGAAACTAAAAAATGGAGACTGTAAGTAGAAGCAGCTTCCAGCCTCATCCAGGACTGCAGAAGACCTTGGAACAGTTTCATCTGAGCTCTATGAGCTCCTTGGGTGGCCCTGCTGCTTTCTCGGCACGATGGGCGCAGGAGATGTACAAGAAAGACAATGGCAAAGACCCAGCAGAACCTGTACTGCATCTGCCCCCCATTCAGCCTCCTCCGGTAATGCCTGGTCCCTTCTTCATGCCCTCGGACAGATCTACAGAGAGGTGCGAGACCATCCTGGAAGGGGAAACCATCTCCTGCTTCGTGGTGGGTGGAGAAAAGCGGCTTTGCTTGCCCCAGATCCTGAACTCGGTGCTCAGGGACTTCTCCCTGCAGCAGATTAATTCGGTGTGTGATGAGCTACATATTTACTGCTCCAGATGCACTGCCGACCAGCTGGAAATCCTCAAAGTCATGGGCATCCTGCCCTTCTCCGCTCCTTCCTGCGGGCTTATCACTAAAACTGATGCTGAGAGGCTTTGTAACGCCTTGCTTTATGGTGGCACCTATCCTCCCCACTGCAAGAAGGAATTCTCTAGCACAATTGAACTGGAGCTTACGGAGAAGAGCTTCAAGGTGTATCATGAGTGCTTTGGGAAGTGTAAGGGACTCTTGGTGCCAGAGCTTTACAGTAACCCCAGCGCAGCCTGCATCCAGTGCTTGGACTGCAGGCTTATGTACCCACCTCACAAATTTGTGGTCCACTCTCACAAATCTCTGGAAAACAGGACTTGCCACTGGGGCTTTGACTCTGCAAACTGGAGATCCTATATCCTCCTCAGCCAGGATTACACTGGGAAAGAGGAGAAAGCTAGACTGGGCCAGCTGTTAGATGAAATGAAAGAAAAATTTGACTATAACAACAAATACAAGAGGAAAGCCCCCAGGGTAAGTGATGCTTTTAATTTTGAAGGGGGTGGGGGGAGAAAGAGAAAAGGAATTTTCTATCATTTCGGTAACATCCAATATGTGACCAGCTGCTTTTCCTTTGAGTCATTAGCAATCTAATCGTGTTCTTCATTCTCCCCACGTGTGTGTTAAAGCAGAAGAGCAGTGTTTGAGATGGCACCTCTTTTCCTCCGGTTGTGTTCTGAACAGGGTAGTTGGAGTTCGTTTAAATTACATATGTGTGTTTGCATATCTTACTGTACACGGGACCTGATCTTTGAAACCCATCACACTACCCCAGACTTTAGCAGGAAGTATGTGATTTCGTGTCTTAAGAGCTTCAGTTACGAGTCAAGACAAGGAAGACGCCAGGGAAAAAAAAAAAGTTACTGACCACTCTAGATGCAGATCTATACAATTTTCTGCTCAGCTGCCGGGGATGGGGTGGGGGCTGACATGTCTAAAGGCTTGTATTGGAATAAAATGTGGCTGCTAAGAAAAAATCCTGACAATAATGCAGGTTACTTGTGTTCAGATGAAGTGTGTGGAATGTGAATGGAGAAGTCCCTGCTTTTAGAGTGTCTCTGTGGAGTGAATCTCGCCAGCAGACAGGCTTTTGTGTATTGGATTATATATACATTCAGGAAATGAATCTGTCTAGGGCCAGCTGCAGCAGCTTCTTAAGGTATGCCATGCCGTGCTGTGCCCAGCCAGACAGCTAAAGCACTATTTTTTTTTAAGTGTCTTTTGTTTTTCTTTCAGTCTGAGCTGCCTTTAGATCCGAGAATCCCTGGTGTGTGGGTGGGAGGCTGCCCTGGCATCTGGCACCAGTCCTGCTCAGTGGGCAGCAGTGCCACAAGGCCTCGGGGACTTGCCTACAGACACCAGCGTGTCTGGCTAGCTGGCAGCGGGGCAGTTAGCCGTGGGATAAGCAATTTGTTTCCCACTTCTTCCCCCGCCTTTAATATAAGGTTGGAGCAAACTCTTGCCTACTGAGTTTTACTCTAGAAGGTTTGTTGGTTGGATTCTGCCTCATCTGTCAGATATTTCCTAAGGTTTTTTTGGTTTTATGTGTCTGGAGAAGGGCAAGGACACAAGCCTTGAGAAGAGGAGCGATGTTTAAAGCCCACTGAGAATGTTCAGTAAAAATCTTAATTAACTTACCAGATACCTGTTTAAAGGGGCAGAAACACACTCAGACTTAAACAGAGCTTTTCTTTTTAAAAAGACAAGAAAAATACCCAAACAAAACCCAGAGTTTTTAAAATATTCTGCGCAAACAATGCAGTAATTCCTACAGCCAGCCTGAGAGGCCCAGTTAACCCATTTGATTGGCCTCCGTGTTTTTTGATTAAGGAGCAGAGTCTCACTCGTTCAAGTTCCAGTTTCTCTCCTGGTCTTGTGCTCAGCCCCGGTTTCAATCCTTGTCCTCACCCCTCCTTTTCCTCCCGCCTGAGTGTCAGAACCGCTGTGACAAAGCTCGGCTGTAATGAGCCACATTATCTCCGTGGTTGGAGGTGGATGTGTTTTTAATGGCTTGTCTATTCTCTGTCAGTCATGTGCTAAGATGGAATGGTGGGATACATGTATATGAATGTCTGTGGGAATATGGCTCTGAAAGTGGAGGCATTTTTCATGTTGGGAAATGAATTTTCTAGGGCATGCTTTGTTTGGGAAGCAAAATTAAGAAATCTCCACATTCTTACTCCAGAAAGGTACTGTGTCCCTAGCTTGGTCATGTCCAGAGTTCAATTAAAATGAATGTTAGTGGAGGTGTGCTTTCCTTTCTTTTCCTTCCAAGGCTTTTGTGGCATTCTGTTTAAGTGTATGAGGTTGCAGGTGGAGAACAAGACAACTAAATTTTGGCTTTGCCTGACTTTTTTGGTGATCCTTTAATAGGTCCTAGTTCAGAACATGGCAAGTACTCTTCCTCCACCCTCAAATCTGCATGCAGCACAGCACTTCTTGCAGAGTGAATTCAAGATACCTAACAGTGGACGCCAAAAATTACGTAAGGAAATCACGGCCATCTATTTCTCAGAAAATTTTGCCCAAATTCCATCATCATAAAATGTTTAAGTCTCCTGCACAGGTTCATTTGGGAGGTGGCAAGGAGTTTGATGGGGAAGAACAGGGTGGTAAGTGTCTGCTCAGACAATGGGGTAGAGAAAAAGGAACACTATCACACATCCTGTGCGAACTGGGCTGAAGTTCCAAGACTTTTGAGCTGTCTTCAGGGCTATCCTATTAATGTGGTACAATCTTGAGGAGCCTCTGACAGTGCTGGCAGAGTTTTGTACGCTTATCCTTCCTTTTTCTGAAGTCTTTTTCCATTGGGCTTAGCCAACGGATATCATATGCTAAGGTCATTTGTGTTGTAGCAGTGTGTGGGGATAATTACGGAGATTTAATCAGGCTCTGAGACTGGTAGACTGTGGCCAGGGGCAAGTAACATTGGAGTAAAGTTTAGATGCCTAGTAAGGAAATGAAAGGATGGTCCCATGTCTTGTCTGTGTGTTTGTGTTAATTCCCGTGAGTCTGTGTGGGTTTTGTGTGCCTGTTGGGCTCTGTCTGTCTGTGGATGAAAGGCTGAAGCACACGTGTGGTTGTGGTGGTCTTCCTTCCTGGTGTAGATCTCTGCATTGCTTTGTTCTAACACAGAGGTGTTTGTGTGTTGTGTGCTGTAATCTGCTATGGCAGATATTCTGTCTTCTGCTTTTGAGAGTGGACTTTTTATCAGTTTCCCAATTTATTTATGTATGTGTGTGTAACGCTCTGCTTTGTGTGTTGTGTTTTCCCTGAGGCTCTCTTAGCATTTTGGTAGCATGGGATGCATATGGCCATGGCTATTTAAGACACACGGAGTTTTTTTTTGACCTTTCTGTGTGTCTTCATGAGGTTTCTGTGATGAGGTATGTACATTGCTGTCAGCACAGCTCTGCCTTTTAAGGGTCTGACTTAAATGGAGGAACTGGGTTGGCACAAGTCCCTTTGCAGATTCATCATACTGGCAAAACTGCCTTTTTATTTTTTTTTGTCTTTCCCTTTTTTCCCTTCGTGTGCTTTTAAATACTTCATTCCTAACATGTATTTCTATATGCATCAAGTATCTACCCGTCTATATTGAGAGGTGGATACATAAGTGCAGCTATATTGTCTCTCAGTCAGCGTGGTTGGTTGAGCAAGATGCATGTTGCCTGGTTCTGCCACTTTCAGAAGATGATTTCATCTAGATCTGTATGAAGTCAGCCAAGGGTCCTAACCAAAAACTGGAGGGGGTTGTGACAGTTGGAGCCCCCACTAAAGTAGGAACCATAGAGGCCTAGCCACTTGCCTTACGCTCTTCTAGAATTTTGATTTTTATATCCTCCCTGTTCTTCCTTGGATGAGTGATTGACCTTCCATAAGCTTCTTCACCTTCCTGCTGCTTCCCAAAGCTCGCTCTTTTCTTGAGCCATATGATAACTTCTCCATTTTCCTTTGTTTGTATCTTGCACTGGGTTTTCCACATTCTTGCATGCTCATGCAGATTTTTTTTTCTCTCTGGTCTTTCAGACTCTCCATGCACCAACACGGCTTTTACTCAAGTGAGTGTCCCATTTCCTTCTTGTCTCTCACTTCATCCACAGTTACTGGCATGGAGCACAACCATTACATTGTAGAGTATTTCTAGAAATTTACAATGTGAATAACCTGACAGGGTTGCAAAACAGGGTCCTAGAAATCTATCATCAGTGCCAAAGCCTTTTTCTTGAGTTCAGCACCTGGTGCATGTTGAGTGTTCACTTGTTAGTGTAGATATGGCCTTGGTGTGTCTCATTCTCCTTCCACTTCTGTGTGACAGACAGCTCTCTGCTTTCTTAACATCACTAAGCCTCCACTGTGATGGAATCAGTTCAAAAAGCAGGCCTGAAGGCTTTGGTGGTTGCTATTTCCAGTAAAGAAGGGTGGGTTCAACTGTCTCTTTTGACCCCCCCCCTTTTTTTTTTAATATTGAACTGAGCAACATTTGACAGTGCTTTCTCATTTCCTACCTGTGTGCCAGACATCTGTACTTTCAGCAAAACTGCATGTGATCAGACACGAAGAGAGTAAGAGAGCTTTCCTTGCACACGTGTGAACACACCCACACACGCTCGCGCTGCCGTGTTCCCACGGTTCAGGTCCCAGCAGCGCTTCGATGAAGTAGCTGGGAGCTAGAAGCAGCATTCTGGGTACTGACACACAAATGAGCGCACAAGGCCTCCCACTTTATTTCACAATGCTTACCAACCCAGTGCTGCCACAACACGCAGCTTTCTCAGCTGGAGTAAGGTTTAGCCAGGTCAAGTGTGCAGCCAAATCAAAGCACAAAATTGCTGAAAGTGAAATAGCGCAGTCCTGACTGAGGTGTAGGGTGGTTCTGGACTGGTAGGTGCTGCACCGTGCTGTTCTGTGCTCTGTGGCCACCTGAAATGCTGGAGGAGTAGAGCTAGAATGTGGATCTCTCTCTTTTTGTATCCTGAAGTCCTGCCTCCTGGCAGTAGTAATCTTCTTTATTTGTTAATAGTTTATATCCTATGGTAGATAAAGCAGAGAGATGCTGATTTCATTCACAGGCAGCGGTGTTCTGACCACTGGATGAATTTATTCTTTTTGGTACAAACTGACTTGATAAATACTCCTGGAAAATTTTGACTAAGAGCTGAGGGTTCAGTTGTTTTTCCATGGAGCAATGAAGTAATTCGTTCTCTTGCCTAATGTTTAAGAATTATTTTAGAGATTCTCCAGTAAAAACTTTGAAATCCCCAGAACAAAAATGTTGAAGTTTTGAGGCAGTAGTTTAGTTGAGAATCCTTTTACAGCTTAAAATTTGAGCTTCAAAAATGATACCAGGCTTAAACAAAATCCTGCGTACCTGAGGAGATGTCTAAGCAGACATCAGCATTTTCTTCCCAAGCGTGCAAACAGTTTTACAGATGTTGTAGAGATCGAGAAGAAAGAAGCAGGTACGTGCATGT